ATACTAATCGTAAATTTACTCCTCACAGCTGATTGAAACGAATTTCGTTAAGTTTTCCATTTCATGATAAACATTTTTGAAACTCTACCAAATACAGAACATTCATTTTTTACAGGCATAGTCCTGGTTTTTGGTTGGATTTTCCTTTCCTACGGTTTGTAGAACACTAGTCCTGGGTATGACGATAAACTACATCCGGCAGCAAGGCCTCTGATCGGGAGATTAGAGGATTTAATGAGCATGGAACCATCTCTTGAGGTTGTTCCCAGTTCCACACTGACCCATGATGATAGCAGCTGTTAGGGTCCGTGCTATAGGCAAATAGTGAAGTACAAAACAAAACGAAGCACTATGAAAGTATTAACATATATTTATATAGTAAACATATCAGCAATACATTTATATATAAAAAAAATGTCCGAGATTAGATATTCATAGTAAAATTACCAACAATACGCACATACTAACAAATTGTAGCGAAATCCGTTTAAAATACTACAAAACAACTAACATGAAAGAACTCTTCCATGACATAAAATCCTACTATTTCTCAAAGAAATCAAACTGTATTCCAAAATAAAGCTTCAATAAAGTTCACTCAGTCAGTTATGTGCCATGCGTGATACACGCTAAGGCGATCGTGTATATTTCGATACATGACTGACGATGCAGATTTTTTTCCTGCAGTAGGTTGCCATTTCTTTCTGCGGTAGACCAGTTGCCATCCAAGGCTACAGAACTCGGTCTGTCTTGCTATTTAATTTAACCATACTAGCGGGGGAGAAGAAAAGGATTAATAACCTTTCCAAGGGTATAAGCACACAAGTGAATGGATTCGACTGGAATTCGAACTCCGCTCTCCAATTACTCAATCCGAGCCGCTATCCAATTCACCACCTTGCCTCAAGAAACCTACAACATAAAAAAAAAACTCTTATCACCGCCTCTAATTATGTTCACACAAACACGTATAAGCACAAAATTGAATATCTACCATATATTCAATTGTGAAAGCCGAATATCATATGTTTTATTAATTACAGCCTTCTAAGATAATTAAAGTTCGACATTAAATGACCCATAAGGAGTCGATATACAAACAGACAAATCAATCAATATCTGTCTATAATGTGAGATGAGGTATTATGTACACTATTTACATTATCAAGACTATTGCCCTAATCTTTGTTGTCATATTTATCATAAATTTTCGGCCTATGTACGCTCCGGCCTTCTTCAAGTGGTTAGCTTCTCGAACTGAACCCTTTATTTCGCTCGCTGGGGTAGACTGTTCTAGTTCCACGTGCCATGTCTAATGGATGTCAGTTATCAGTTATCTCCTGTTAATTCATCTCTCCAAGGTCTCCACTGCCTTGGCCAGGTATTGAACTCACAAATATTTGGGTCCTGTCACTGGATATGTTAATGACACATGGCACAGTGGATAAAGACTTTGGTTAGATAACAGTGACAGGACCCAAATTGTTGTGAGTTGAATACCTGGTTAAGGCGTTTGAGAGCTGGGAGATGGGAATTAACAGGAGATAACTGATAAATGACATCCATTAGGCATGGCACGTGGAACTAGAACTGTCTATCCCGGTGAGCGAAATAAAGGGTTCAGTTCGGAATATTTGAGAGAAATATTGGTCGATCGGAATTGGGCAAACTTTCGCATATCGCATGAGTAAATTAGAGGAACTTGTTGCTTGAAAATCTATGGTGTAAAATCTACAGCAGAAAATGTATAGTTATGGTGAAGCGACAAAGGTTACTTAGAATATGCTAGGGAGAATAATGGTCGTCTGCCTTCTGGATGCATACCCCGGAGATTCCAACCATATGCAGCACCTACCTCGTTGTACCAAAGAAGGAGGGTTGGTGGAATGTCTTCAACAACGCGACGTAGGTTATGCGGAACAAGCCTTGGCGCATATGCCCGTGCTTGGGCTCTCCATTTTAAACCGGCCTTGAACCATATCCCGTCACCGTGAGAGGACGTACCAAGTGCCCTATCTGCCTTCTCACAGACAAACTACATTTCATTTCTTAATTTTCTTTCTGTCTTCGGACTGAATACAACAAATAATTTAGGAATGCCTGGTCCCGGCGATTCCGAACTTGAAGCAGCTCCTCCCTCATTGCACCAAATAAGATGGCGTTAGTGAAAAATCTAAGCGAGCGTGGGGTTAGTTATGGGTACCCATGCAATGTTCGGCGTTGGCCCATATATACATGCACGGACTCCCCACTTTAAACCGGCCTTGTGTTATATTCCTTCCACGTGAGGAGAAGATGAGTAAGTACTAAGTATAGTATCTTTTTTTCATTATCTGATCATGGTAATAATAGTCGTATAAGGAAACATTCGGCAGACACTGACCGAAGAACTAGTCCAAGTTTCAGTTAAAATTTATGAAATCTCTTCTCATTTTTGCGTCCTTGGTAAGACGATAAACTACATACGCGTCCAGGGTAAGACTATGAACTACATCTGCGTCCTGGCTATGACAATAAACTACATCTGCGTTCTGGGTATGACGATAAACTACATCCGCGTTGTGGGTAAGACTATAAACTACATCCGACAGCAAGGCTTCTGATGAGGAGGTTTTGAGGGGCGTGGAAGAACCTCTTATTTGATGGTGTTCCCAGATCCACCCTGACCCGGGTGGTAGCACTTGTCAGGATCCCATTTATGGGCAAATAGTTAAGCCCCCAATATGGATCAAATCACTATAAAAAGTGTAAAAATATGTTTTAATACTAGCAATACATTTTTGTAAAAATTATTACCAGCAATGAATTTTGGGGGAAATAAATGATTACCAGCAATACATTTTTGAAAAAAAAAATTACCAGCAATAAAAATCTTGTCGGCATTAAATAATTCACTGGGGCTGATATGCTGTGAAACAAACCAAACCAAATCAAATCAAACCAAACCAAATCTCCTTTTCAGGAAAATATATTTGTCGAGCTAATTACCGGTTATTGCTGTTTCTAGCACTGATGGAAGTTTCATTTACATCACTTTGTTTGAAGTATTGTAGAACATCAACATCTTGATCCTGAAATTATTATCTAGAGGTACCTGTGTTATTCATTATAGCTGTTGTTGTCTTTGAAATTTTCATGGGATATACTATCTGTTATTTGAAAGAAGTATGAACATAGCCAAAACCTGCGAGCTTCATTAACTCGAAATCCCTTTCAATCATTAATTTAAAAGATTTCTTTAACGTTTGCTTCTTTTTGTTTAATGTTGAAATTTATGTGTGTGACAATCAGCACAAGATTATGTTTCATGTAGATAAGTAACACTGAGCCTATCAAATAAACGACACGATTGTGGAAGCTGTCTACAGCTTTTACTATACGGGAGGGGGGCATTTTAACAGAACCGAAATTGCTGAAATACTCTCCAGTATTTGAACGTACATTATCAGACATGACAATTCTGAAGGGCATATGGACTGATAAAAATATCAAATTCAGCTCAAAGATCAGGCTGATGCTCTTCCTGATCAAATTAATAACATCCTACGTCAATAGCTCGTGGACTTGACAGAGGATATAGAACAGAAGATTGAGGCTAAAATGATTAGATGATTTCAAAAACTCTTCAACATCTCTTACAAAGATTCTATCACAACCAGTGAAGTGAGAATGATAAGAAGATCTTATAGCCACAGTGAAGGGTTGGAATTTAAAATGGTATTATAGGTATATTTAGAGATCAGCACGGCTTGTCAAGACAGAGCCACAACGTACAGTGAAATGTACTTAAAATCGAGTGACACCAGGAGAAAGTGTATGAATATTAACGGTAGAAGAGATAAGGTTTGCAAGATATCTGTGGCGACTATGATGATAATAAAATGGAATTTGTATCTTCTTTTTGCCTTCGAAATACTGTCGGTTTGTGCATGATCGCAGGGTCGTATTATGACCATTTGGGGCCCCTAGACTAATGAATTTATCCTCTGTTTGGACGGACCCGCCTTCTAACTTACCCGCCCCAGTCTTGAATAATTTTAATTTTTATATTTTATATATATATTATATATATATATATATATATATATATATATATATATATATATATATATATATATATATATATATCTGACGTCATTTGGTTACCTTAAGATTAGCTTCGAACAGATATGAACGTTCGAGGGAAATCATGGTAAACTTATAGTTTAAAAGCAGTAAAATCGACCTTGCTAACCTGACGCTTATTCGTAGCTAATATGGTATAGCACGTCATGCTATATGACAATGTCATGTAGGATACAGTTTCGATGCCTCTTGGAGAACGCATATTTTCTATGAAATTTTTCAGACATTCAGGTGAGTAAATGTAATTATGCTGTTTATTGTAAACAGAGCGTTTCCTTAAACATGTGTGTCTATATAAAATAAAGTAAAGCATTTAGTAAACCTATTGGAAAGTCTTTAGATAAACTAGAAGGTCAATCTTTTATTTCTCCATGAATATATTCTTCAAGAAATAGCACTGTTTTTCGATTTATCCCAACTAACAGATTTTTTTATAACCAGCATTATAACAATAAAACAAAGTAAATATTAGTTTGCCGTGTTAATATTATTTCAGTTTATCTAGAAAATTTAAATTAACACATTATAAAAACATTCTAAGATTTAAACATTCCGTATTAGGATCAAGTATTTGCATCTACTTACCATTAAATAATAATTGCATAAATAAAATTCAACTATAACATCTATTTACTCACTTCCGTTTAGTAGACATTAAATGACGTCACCTAGTATCCTTCATAATTTAACGAGATTTTTCATGAATATTTATGAACGTCTCTTAAATTTAAAAAAAAAAATAATAAAGTTAACATTTTTACATTTGTATTTAAATATTTGTTGCAAAAATAAAATCCTCATAATTGCCTTGAAAAAGTCCGTCGGAGGACGACACGCGAGGTCTATGAGCTGTTTTCATTTTGCTTTACTTGTATTTATGAATACGTTGGTAGAGATAGATAGATAGATAGATAGATAGATAGATAGATAGATAGATATGAACAGACTGAGATAAATCGATTGATAGATAGATAGAAAAACACTGAGATAGGTAGATAAATACGAACATGCTTAGTTACAATGAGATTTCTGAAAACACAGGGATAGATATATATTTTAATTGATTGATTCGTTTTTTTTTTTACGGTCATCAACGCCTTGCACCTTGTCTAAAGCCAGGAAATACATTTTAGATTGTAGAATATTTTTAGGATGGATAATAATGTTTCAGTGACACAAGTCTTACTAATTAACCCATAGCTAGGAAGAGAAGAGATGGATTCATACTTTTCCTAAAACTATTTGCGCTTAAGGAATTGGAACTCAATTCTCTGATCAACAATTCCGAGTTATTATCCATTACTCCACCTGCACATACAATCTTAGAGCTCCTGGTCGTCCCATCTAGGAACTGGCCAGGCTTGACGTTGCTTAACTTCGGAGATTGTATGTACGATTAATCAAATATGAAATACTATAGAATGCGTAATGATAACAATTCTTTTCCAGGGTTTATTTCTTGCCAATTAATCCCATTTCAAGTATTTATATGCTGTATTTGTGATAAATACATTGTAGAAGTCTTTGCTGGTGAATCCTCGCAGCTAAATACAAAAAGGATTCATTATACATCTACATTTAAATTTTCAAAAAATCATTTTACATTAAAAATAATCTAACTATAATAATTTCTTTAATAAATGTTTAAAATGAACAACAGATGAAGTATATCAGTTTATATTTATATCCATATTATTCCTACAAGAGGAATGATCGAAATCAAGATAAATTATAATCTGCTGAAATAAAAAGCTTATATGAAAAAATATACCACATTGTTATTATTGTTATTAGTATAATAAATATATATATATATATATATATATATATATATATATATGTGTGTGTGTGTGTGTGTTATACGTTATATATATATATGTTATACGTTAAAATATGGACCGTTATATATATATATAATATAAGTTTATATTTTTCCATTATTTCCCTTAAGATATTTTAGTTAGACATCCGTTGACACGTTTCATTTGAAAATCACTTTAGTGTAAAACTCGTAGGTACGATTTTAGATCTGAGTTCTTGAGCGCTTTCTTGATAATTTGAACAATTCTAGGCCTTAAGCAATCATCGGATAATAAAGTAAAAGATCGCCTTCGGCAGGAAACTGTTAGTCACGATAAAATGTTTGTTTATATATTGTCCTTACTCGTATATATATATATATATATATATATATATATATATATATTTGAGTGGACATTGAAGTCACTAGTTACAGGCGACTGTAGTTTCATGCTAAACGCATTCGCCAGGCCATATATATATATATATATATATATATATATATATATATATATATATATATTTTTATTTAAAAATATGATTCCAACTCGTGACATAAGAGGTCTCATGTTTCAAAACAAGAGCCGAAAAATTCAATATAATTATTTGAAATAATTTGAGTTAAAGTAAGCTCTGTTCCATCATCAAGCGAAAATTTTTTTGGAATAAAGTATTTCTGAAATTTACGTGTTTTAATAATTGAAATCAAAATTTCTATGGTAACAGCTAGGGCGAATTGCTTAAATTTAGTAGGCGTGTGTTGGGTGTTAATAATAAGTATCAGTTAATAATAAGTATCAGTATAGAGTATCGAGCACTATTTCTTAAAAAAAAAATAACTTAAATACTAAGGAACTTTGGATTATTTACCTAACCAGTTCCTTCCTATTTTCTATATTTTTTCACACACACACACACACACACACACACACACACATATATATATATATATATATATATATATATATATATATATATATATAGGCAAGTTTCGTTGAATAATTTAGACAAGTTTTGTTTGCTTATTTTGAACAGGATTCATTCATATATTCGGATGAGCTTTCTGGTGTCGATATTAAAAAAATAGAACATTACCGTGTTAATACATATTGTTTTATTTCCGAGTACTTTCGACATTAACACAATGTGCATAGAAATAGTACTTAGATAAACAAGAAAGTTGGTTAAACATCTCTTTCGTAATGAGCATTTGTTTAAATTCTTGAAATTGCATTGGTTAATATTATCAACATTATTTATCTTGGAATGTGGATTATTATCCAAATTTTTAAATTCGTTTAAAATTTTATCATTGGGCTTCTTTAAAATCTTCTCAAGACGATCGGTGCAGCTATAACTTAGCGTGTTTCTCTTAAATATAAGAGAGTTACATTTAGGAGTTACTTTTAGGGAAATTTTTATTCATTAAATGGCTTCTGGCCTAAGTACTGTCGTTTGGTTAAATGGGGTTATGTATCAAATGATTTTCCTATTCCTATTTGTTTTCCTTAGATTAGTATTATCATATTTTCTATACTTGTAGCCACTGTTTTTAAAGCAGTATTATAAACACCGCTATATTTTCCAAGCACATCTTTGTCAGATGAATTGTTGCTAACCCAACGTTCTATAGATGATATAGGAAAGTTGAACGCCAGACTTCTATACATCTTACGAAATAATTTAACAATTTTATCTGTCCATAAAGAAATTGACTAGGATTTGTATGCCGACAACTTCGTGTAATAACCTATATAATAATATTGGGTGGGAAGTTTGGCGGTCACATTCAATTAGTTACTCAAAGTAGAGCCCACAAGCCTATTTTGAATTCTATTTTTTTTCTCGACAAAAAATAGAAAATAGTCTGCTTTTGAAATTAAAATAACCGTTCACTCTCCAGTAGTTTACCATTGCCATAGGAGTCACATTTGTAGTGTTAAAATATAATTACAATTGTGTATCGATTCTTAACATGTTTTTTAATATCCTAAAATAAATTATATATATATATATATATATGGGTGAGTACGTGTGTGTGTCTGTGTATGTTTGCGTGTTTGTGTGCTTGCATATATCGTGGAAGTCATTATATTGAATTTAAATCTCCTCCGATGATATTTAAATGTTCAAGTAAATATTTATAATGGGCAATATTTCTTCTGCTCGTAATGGAGACGATCGGAGATGAAACGTGAGAAGATCAGTTCCAGATAGTCAGTATAATTTCGTGATATTAATCAATATACAATCAATTTTCGTTTGTGCCAAATTGAAATTTGGAATTCGATAAAGAAAATAAAGCCAGTGCCATCCTGAACATAATCGGATGGCGTTTGTGCTTCAATTGGTTTTATATGTGGCGATTGCACAGGGTTATTGATTGGTTGGGCTCGAAATTGAATGGCTTAGGGATGTGGAGTTAATTAACCGTGGAAAATTATTAACTGAAATGTGAATCCTGCTCTATCTCACTAGATTCATCTTCTTATTGAAATAAACGGACACACAGACCTATCTATCTCTCTATCTATCAATCTCTCTCTCTCTCTCTCTCTCTCTCTATATATATATATATATATATATATATATAGAGAGAGAGAGAGAGAGACATTGAGAGATCGATTTGTATATTCTCAGCCTAACAGTGTAATTAATTGAATATAACTGTTTAAAATGCACACACACACACACACACACACACATACACATATATATATATATATATATATATATATATATATATATATATATAATAATACATATATATATATATATATATATATATATGTAATAATATATATATATATATTTGTTTTATTTATGTATTTTATTAATGCATGTTTCATTAAATAATATAGACAGGTTTTGTCAATTTATTTTAAGTAAGTTCCTTTCATATTGTCTGATAAGCTTAATCACATTATTGTTGAAAGACGAAAGGAATACACCATATTGATACATGTTTAAATCCAATCTAAGCTTTCCTCTTACACAAGTAATTATCAAAGATGAAAATTTCAATAAATCAAACAAAACACGGACTAAACAACAATGATAGTCCGTCCTTGCTGCATGAAAATTTCCAAGTAACGACAAACTCGTATATACGAGACGCGGAAGCGAAAATCGCGTCGGAGCTCGTGACGTCACGCGAGAGTGAAAAACTGAAATTAGATTGCGTTTTGCTTGTTTGTTTTTTTTTTGATATTATTTTTAGTTTTCGTTATAATTAATATAGGATGTTAAGGAATTTTATCACTCTGAATATTTTTGTTCGCGTCTGATATAAATGATCTAGTTTCCTATAGTGGGCCAATTTGATTTTCTTTTTCTTTTTAATTAATTTATTTTTTGAAGTACTTAAAATACTTGTAATCCATGTTTATCTACATTATTTTAGAATACCATGTTCCCAGAGTATGTAGGCGATCACTGATTATCACAGATTCTTTTTTATTATCTGTAGATTAACAAAACTGCTCTTAACTTTCTTTCGGTTTTGAAATCAGATTTGTTGTTTTTCTAGATTGACTGCAATCCAAGACGAAAGAACATGTTTTTCGAGCCATTTAACCTGCAGTCGGAAATGTAGAATTAAACTCATGCCTTCGTAAAAATGAATGCAACAGACTGTTTTGGGATTTGGACTTGAATCTCCGATTTCCCATTCAGTGAGATTATCGTTCCTTCACCGAATTATCTCCTTTCCAAAATAGGAAAGAACTCATTTTCTTTTCTTGTTTTTCTTATTTTTTTCTTCACGATAAATTTGGTTCATTGATGTCTTATGAAGGTCAAATAAAAAAATTTTTCTTAAAAATAATTACAAGAAAACAACAAAATTTTGAGCAGGTGTAAATATATAAACCCTTGATCGATAAGGTAATAATCGATAGATGTAGTTATTTGTTAGATAAATCCGTTACATTATTGATAGCAAATCTGCTCCGAGCGTCCATGCTATTTGCTAACACGATGAGCTTTGGAAGGGGATCTAAAGAAATAAACGCTTCATTGTACCCCGACATACACTTTCGCGTGCGGATCATGAGAAATTTCCACCTGCAGCAGATGGAGAGCTCACGTGACATATTTCTTGTTTTTAAAGACTTCACGGGTTTTAGAGACCGTTAGATCTTGCACAAGTGACGAGGCTGCTAGGAGACGGGTGCTTTAATCAAGAAACCATCTCTTGATGGATCGTTCCTTAAAGGTTAAAGAGCTTTCAGTAGGTGAGGACTTATAACTAGCACACAACTATCGACCCCTTCCCAATAGCTTTGTCTAGCTTATTTCATTGACAAGCCTTGGATCAACCTATGATGTGGTTTTAAAGCCCTACCCAAGAGAGCAGAAGTGAAATCTTTGGCTCATCAAATATGGTAAGATTTGAGGACGGGTCTCAGAATTCTAAATGTTAATGCGCTTATGCTTTGCCCACGCGGCTACAGAAATATGACTGTTGTTACTCGATTTATTTTCAATTTTGGTACAGAGAATCAACATTGATTCCCGTCCTGGGTATGACGATGAACTAGATCTGGCTTCAAGGCGTCTGATCGAGAGGTTTTGAAGCGCGTAGAGTGACATCTTAATTGCTGTTGTTCCAAAGTGTACCCTGACCAGCAGTGGTAGCACCTGTTAATTTCCCAGAAAATCGTGAACAAAAAAAAAATGATTTCAGACAAGGACAGAAAGTGAGTACTTTCTTATTTTGGGAAAATAGTTAACCTCCAAACTGGGTCAAAACACTATGAAAATATAAAAATACTTTTTTATTGTAAAAATATTAGCAATTCATTTTCATAGTAAAACATTGCCAGCAATACATTTTTGTAAATAAAATTAGAATTACTCCCAAGAAAATTAAATTTTGTCATTAAATAACCAATAAGAAGTTGATATGCCGCTAAACAAACGCACATTGTGTCAGTGGGAATTCACAGAATGGTTTTTAAGAAATCATTTAACTTACCTGTTGTCAAATAAGTTTGTTCAGGTGTTAGTCTATCACCTATAAACCAAACATTGGAGTAACTGAAGTAGAATTATTTATCAAGAATTTTATTTTTATTTTCTGGCTGGAAAGAAAGACTTGTCATATTTGAAATTGGAGAAGAAACAAAATCTCATCTGGATTTAATGATTTTCTTTAATGAAGATAATATTTTCCCTCATTACTCATCATACAAACGCATCTACATTGGATATTTGTAATGGAAAAGTATCCGGTTTTCGATGCAAATAAACACTCGATATAAATTTAAGTCTTCTTCAAAATTGATCAACTGTTTTTTCCCCTCAGTAATATTTATTGTCATCCCAGGAAAATCTCTCAGTAATATAAAGTATTATATTGCTGGGAGCAGTGTCTGTCCTGTTTCTATTGTCAGCGCAGAAATGAGTTCAAATTCTGTCTGTGTTACATTCACTTTCACACCAGTATGCCAACGAGACAGGCATGAATCCATCTTTCCTTCAGTAGCTATGCATTTCTCATAGACCGAGCATTACTAACAGATCACTACACTTTCAATTTTACATAGTAAATGTCTAGACTTACTATATTTCTTAGTTCCTACAGTTAAGACCTTCACATCTAGGATCCATCATTCTTCGTGCCCAAGGTCGACTCATCGTAATCCACGTTCGTATTCAACTGACAAGGATTAAGTTACACTTACATAGCTTGTTCATAAAAACATATTCCCAAGAGGATGCTTTCCAGATCATTATGATCTTAAACTCTTTCAGTCTAGGATCAACTTTTATGTATCCTACATATCCTCACAATAAGTGTTTCTTACTTTACGGGGAGGGGCAGGGTGAGATAAAGGATGGCGGCTCTGATTGAGGAATCGGAGGGTTGACTTCATTTACATACAAATACCTTTTGGAGCGACATGACTCCATCACTTCTCCCCACTGCTATGGGTAAATAGCAGGACAGACTCTGTTCTATAGCCTTGGGTGGCAACCAGTTTAGAATTCCAAACCTCCCTACTATGGGTTAAATAGCCTCATCAACCCTCAATTGGCGTTATGAGTACTGCTACATCCTTGAAGACATGGTCAATTAGGGAGGGGTCCCTTCAACAATAGTGAGAAGGCACTGTATTTGGACTCATTTCACCCGGAGCAAGCCGAGAAAAAAAAATAAGATACAAGGAGTTATTGGAGTGTGGGTGAAGAACTCCGGGAAAACGTTACAGATGTGAAAGAATAATGCTCATGGGAACAGAAGATGATGATTGATGTTGCATTTAAATTTTGGAAGATTTTAGCTGGCAGGAGAGCATGAAACAGAAACAGAGTTCCCTAGTTGAGAAGTAAGAGTGAAGAAACTATCTAAATAGAACTTACGGCTACATAACAATTTCAACAATAAAAAGATAAGCCTTAATTGCCAATTTATCAAATCGAGGTACAGAAGAAAGATCAGCAAAATAATTGCAATGAAAATATTTATAGGAAAGGCACAAAGTTATGTCGGTAGGAAAGCGATTGAAACAGACATGCCAGGTCAAGATGGATAAAATTGCACATTATTCTTGGATTTTGCCAGGAATCTCTAGATATACAGAAGAATCAACTGAACCGATATGGCAACAATATTCAATGCACGGAGAGGCGGTATACTAATAAAGTTGGAAGACATATTCGGGTAAGGAAATTCGTCTTTTATGAGAGAATGAACGAAGTTTTATAACAGTAGACTTATCAATTGACTTCAGGTACATGTTCCCCCCCGCCACCTCCATTTCCACACTTAAAACAACCTCAAACAGTAACACTTTAACTCGAGTGGCTCTTGTGCCTTTTATTGTATGAAAATTATCATAAAACAAAGCAGGACAGGCTGGTACATCTAGACTTGAAAGGCCCCGAGTTCAAAGATGCGGCTGCAGAGCAACTGGTTTTGTTTCCCAAGAATAGGTTAGGTAAAAAATTAATTTTTGCCGATGGTGGCAATAATAACAATTACAATTCTTCCCATGTTACTTAGAGAGGAGATAAGCAAAGTCAAGTGATTCCCATCGCATAAAGAAAGTTAGTACTTAAAAAGTGCCCCCCCACCCCGTTGAACACAGTGATTATGGTTAATTAACTTACCTCCCTGCGATGCAGGGTGTGGCACAACGCCGTTTTTTTAATGCGGATCAAAAACGAGTCCGTCAACTCGGCCAAAAATTCTCCGTAAAAAAGGGGTCGCGTAGGTGTCTATCACCCCAGACGAGACTCTGCTCTTCGGCATAGACTCGTCTGGGTTCCTCTCTGCCCGAAGGCAGAGAGTTCGACCAGCACAGCTGGAGACGAATCTCCAAATGTTTGCCGAACACAATGATTATGGTAATTGTAATAATAATACTAACTGTTTCCCTATAAGGAAACATTTGGATTTTATTGAACGATCAGTCAGTTCTTCGTTTGGTTGAAATTTATAAATCCTTTTTTTTCTGAAAAAATACACATTACTTAGCAAAACAGGTTTCTAAAGCTCATTAGCTGTTATCGGTCATTCCAGTATTAACGGGAATTTCCTTCCTAACCTTTATCTGAATCAGTGTAGAATGAAGATGTCGTTGTTTTCTCATTGAGTTACATGTGCTATTCATTTTAGTTTCCGTTTTTGGTAGTCCTCAAATGATGTTGTTTTTGTTATGTGGTACAGTTCTTTGTTTGTGATTCTGTTGCAACCAGTCCACAAGGTTCAAATAAGGATTGTTTTTCCCAAGATACTCAAGCTTCATTATTTTCTCTTTGAGTTACATGTTCTATCCATTTTAGTTGTTGCTGCTGTTGGTGGTTCCCAAGTGATGTGGTTTCTGTTACTTGCTTCAGTTCTTTGTTTGTGATTCTGTAGCGCCAGTCCACAAGGTTCAGGAAGGATGATCTTTGCTAAGGCCCTCAGGCTTTACTTGCTAAAAATGTTTTTCACCATTAACCTTAGAATGTAGTTGTATACAGTTAACATAGAATGAACTAAGTTGAAGTCATCACCTATTAAATTAACAAACTACATGTTGGATTGAAGTAAGACCGGTAACAGGTAGTAATCATACGTGATCCGATATATATATATATATATATATATATATATATATATATATATATATATATATATGGGAGGGAGGGAGTTAGAGAGAGAGAGAGAGAGAGAGAGAGAGAGATTCATTTCTACTTATAGCTGTTATCCTAAACTGTTTATTAGTAATATCAGTTAGATTCGATCTCAAAAGAAAAAAAAAGAGTACTTAATGCCTCAGCGACGAAAGCGCTTCAAAGCGAAATAAGCACTTCATAAGACACGCCTTATTTATTTTCGAAAAACAAAAAAAAACGCCATTTTGTTTGCTCTTCCTTTCACTTTCAAATTTCTGTTATTTAGTTCCGCCTGTGCAGTCACGCATGCGCATGCACTACGAGCTCCCCTCTGAGCCTTTTACGGTGACACGGTATGAGAAACAAGAGGACAAACCTTAGGTCATTGGCAGTAAATATAAACGACAAGCCTACATCGCACAAAGGATAGGACATAAAAAAAAAAAAAAAAAAAAAACTCTTTATAGCTAACACCTGCCTTAGAAGAAGTTATGCTTGATTTGTGGATCCGGAATAGCTACCGGTCCTATAACTTATAAACTAGCTTACGAAGTAAATTGTGCGTATGTGATGACAAACTAGACGCTGCTTCTAAGAAAAGTCACGTGTTGGAGAAAAATTAAAAGGGAGGCAGAGATAGATAGATAGATAGATAGATAGATAGATAGATAGATATGAACAGACTGAGATAGATATATAGGAATAGACTAAGATAAATAGATAGATATGAATAGACTAAGATAGATAGAGAGATAGAAACGGAACGAAGCTAAACCAAAAGAAACAAAAATGAAGTTGAAAATGAAGTAGAAGTAATAGTAGAAGGAGAAGAAGCGGAAAAAGAAGGAGAAGAATATATAGTATTAGTAGTAGATGAAGAAGGAGTGGAAGAAGAAGAATATGAATATGAAGTAGTTGTAGTAGTAGAAGATTAAAAGAAGAAAGAGAAGTATATGAAGTAGAAATAGTAGTAGTAATAGTAGCAGAAAAAGAAGAAGAAGAAGAAGAAGTGGAACAATAATAATAATAATAAGTAGTAGAAGAAGTAGAAGAAGAAAAAAAAGAAGAAAAAGAAGAAGTATATGAAGTAGAAATAGTAGTAGTAGTAGTAGTAGTAGAAGAAGAATGATGGGAATAATAATAATATGAAGTAGTAGTAGTAGTAGTAGTAGTAGAAAAAGAAGAAGAAGAAGAAGAAGAAGAAGAAGAAAAAGAAGTATATGAAGCAGAAGTAGTAGTAGTAGTAGTAGCAGAAGAAAAAGAAGAAGAGAAGTATGGAAGAAGAAGAATATGGAATAGGAAAGAAGAAAAAAGAAGAAAAAGAGAAGAAAAGAACATAGAATTTGAAATAGTAGTATTAGTAGAAAAAAAGAAGAAAAGAAGAAAAGAAGTATACAAGAATATCAAATAGTAGTAGTAGTAGTAGAAAAAGAAGAAAAAAAGAAGAAAAGAAGTATATGAAGTAGAAGTAATAGTAGTAGTAGTAGAAGAAGAAAAAGAAGAAGGAAGAGTGAAAGAGGAAGAATATGAAGTAGTAGTAGTAGTAGAAGTTTGAAAGAAGAAAAAGAAGTATATGAAGCAGAAGTAGTAGTAGTAGTAGAAGAACAAAAACAAGAACAAGAACAAGAAGGGGGCGTGGAAGAAGAAGAATATGTAGTAGTAGTAGTAGTAGTAGAAGATATAAAAAGAGAAAAAATGAAAAGAGAGACTTAGATAAAAAGATGGAGATTAAACAGGGATGGTGAGAATGAGAACGACAAATTGCGATAGAAATTGTTATGGTTAGATAAAAAAATAAAAGAAGAATAAAGTTAATAAACAATGTTTTGGAAACTCAGAAAAGAGACAGATATAAATTAATGGAAAGATATTGTGAGATAAAGAGAGACAGAGAGAGTGGGGAGAAAGTGCGGTAAAGATGGACATGTTTCGATGCAAAGACAAAAAAAGGAAAGAAAAAGATAATATACATTAGTAATAAAAAAAAAAAGTTAGTAAATATACGCTGAAAAGGCGTCAAAACTGACCGATGCATGTTAAGGTTTTTATTGATGAAGCCGAAACTGTCGGTGGGCAGCAATATTTGATTAGGCGCCAGGGTCAAGATATTTTGATGGTGTGTTTTATTGCACTAGACGGGGACTTGTGGAGTGTGTGCTTGTTGACGGATTTGATTGAAAAGCAAAAGAAAGGAAATAAGATTGATGGATGTGGAATATAAATATACAAAACAGCGAATGCAATAGAGAAATGATAAGAAGGAAAGCAAAAATTGAAACCAAAAGACACGTAGAAACAAAAAAAGACAGAAGGGGCTCGAAATGCAAACAACAAAGATGCTTACAAGGCCAAGCAAAAAAGATGACAATATAAAATGACAACAATATATCAGTATATTAATATAAAAAGGAAAAAAAAAACATTTTGCATACAGATATTTTCTGAGATGTGAGATGTCCAGAGACATTCCTTTAGTTACTTTACCGAATAGTTTACATATATGCAAGCAAACATAGATAGTCATCTACAAACAGGCTGTTTCGCAGCTCTTCAGTGTAGCTAGACGTCCGGTTACCTCTAGCTATGATCGAAACAGGGCTGAATTGTGGTCAGTCGGAGATTTTACCATGATGCCGTCGTCATACGGCAGGGACGAAGGTGAATTTTAGGATATTTTATTTTTAGATAAACACACAGTAAATGAGAGGGTTCAATTGGCTTTACCGAAGAGTCTTGCTATAATAGCCGTAATAGACACTGTTTACAAACCCACACTTCCTCCTCCAGCGAGCTCAACCAAGATAAATTGTCAATCGACGTCTCCAGATGCCCTGATCTATCTGCTATCCTTCTCTTCATCCTTTACTCTATCACTCCTATTTGCTCTCGCTCCAACTCTCTGTAACCCCTTACGTGCTAGTCGCACACCCCGCTTTGCTTCTCAAGAATGAAGAGTGAGCGTTGTGTGGTTCAGAACATGATTGATAAATTTCTGCTATTTTAGATTGATGGAATTAGAATTTAAGTCAGGTGTGACGTCATCTGCAACAGATTTATTGTATATATATTTCGTATTGTGACGTCCCCCGGAGTCGCTGCGCCAAATGTGACATCTGGCCGCGCCCGCCGTGCTGTCCTAGTCGCGGCGCCAATTGTGACGTCACCCCGTCTGTCTCGGCGCCGTCGCCGTACTATCCTGTCCTGTGACGAACAATGTGACTTGGTATTGGTCGCGGCACCAAATGTGACGTTCTAACCTTTTGCTGATTCGGATGGGAATCTGGTTAGATTCGGTATCAGCCTTGTCGTTCCCAGCTCGCCTCCAACGTCTGGTTACCGAAGTAACTGTTTTGATTACTAGTCTAACCTACCCACGTTGTGATTTGATCTTAGGTAGACGAAATCAATCAGTCGCCGGGCCGTAATGCAAGCTGAATCCAGACAAGGGTAATATCGCACAAGTATATGTAAAAGAAAATAAAGCAATAACTCGAAAAGTTCAAATATGTTAAAAAAGGATAACAATATTTTATATCTAGTTGCTGAATACAGGACTGTCTCTTCTTCCCAACCCGTAATATGGATTCGTGACACTTTGTGTTTGTTAGGCGAGTCTTAACATCTTAAGTTGTTTGTTCTTTAAGAAACTGGTTCTTGGTGTATCTTCAGGCGATATCCGTAAAACCTGTTTTGGTGGTGTGAGTCTAAGTCGTTCTTCAAAAATAAATTGTTCTTGGTTAGAAGTTGAGGTCGTGATTTGCGTGGAGTCTTTCAGTCGGGTTCCTGCGAGGCGGGTCTCACTCTGCAACTCCAACCCAACTGCGAACTCAGCTGCGAACTTCGAACTGTCAACTTACTCGTTGCGACTCTGCTTATATGGACTCCGACCAAAACCGGGGTAAGGCTTGTCGGGGTTTGAGGTTCCTTGATAATTCCAAATCCACAATCCACTTTTTTGTTTTCGGCCAGGAAAATTTATTATTTTCCATTTTTGGAAGTCGATCCAGATTCTTCCTTTTTCATATGGGTATCTCACCCAATCCCTTCAGGGGGCGTCAACAGCTTTCCTCTCTCTCTCACAGTGGCATCTCACGCCGATCCCTTCAGAGGGGCGTCAACAGGCCTCTCCTCCTTCTTCACATGATTATCTCCGCCTAACGCTCACGCTACCATTCAGCCAATGGGCGCTCAGCGGCGTGGGTGTGGCCGGACTAGCCACGGTTTAAAAATTCTTGCTAAAAAAAAAATTATCTTCCTTTTCCTTTTTCTTTTCTTTCTTTTTCTTCTTCTCGACAACAACCAAATACGACCCCTAGTATGGTCTCTTAATCTCAATTTTATCCTGAATGTCACCTGGGATTTATCACTCGGGACTTTCGCCAAACAAGTGGGTGGTCATCCGGTGATATCGCTCCTTGGTGCCAATTATTCGTTCTGATAAAATAATTTTGCTATCATAGCCAGCTCCTGACAATAAACAGGTTCCTTTTCCAAACGACAACTCCGTAGATAGTTAATGGTTTAATCTTTCCTTCCTGGTATTCTGCGGGTGGTCAAACGGACATTTTGTTTTTTTTTTCGGTCAGGAAAATTTATTTTTATCTCTCAGTTTCTGTCTCGTAGGCCACTCGATCAACCTGAAACTTTCATTATTGACATACTCGGTGCGCCGTCATAAATCAAACGCGACAGATGCGCAACCTTACTTTATTCGCTAATGAAAATAAAGTCTTTAGCACTTTTCTTTGTTAGAAAAATAACATCGCTTAGTGTCCTGTTCGTGATTGCTTCTTATCACCTAAATTTAATTCTCGCCTTTTCTTTTTTTTCTTCTTTCTTTCTAGCAACCCTAAATAGTGTCACAGTATATATATATAAGGTATGTCAGATATATCCCTCATACATAACTCCAACATGATGTTAAAACATTAGCTAGAAGAGGAAAGCACTGCAACTTATGTGGAAGGTACTACTGGGAGCTACTCTGCCCCACCCTATATATATATATATATATATATATATATATATATATATATATATATGTATGTGTGTGTGTATATATATATATGCATATACATATATATGTATATATATATATATATATATATATATGTATATATATATATATATATATATATATTCATTCACTAGCTCAATCACTAAATCTTCTTTCAAAATCTATCACGATTCTAACTGTATATAACATAATTTACCTCCTAGAATTCACACTATGCCAGAAACAATATGTAGGAAAATCTGAATGACTCTTTCACTACAGAATTAATAATTATCGTAATCGAATTAAGTCGACTCCCCATGAAAAATTATTACCTGTAGAATAACATTTCCGCCTGGAAAAACACGATTTCATAACCCATGCCAAATTAACTATAATTGAGAGTATAGAAAAGTTCAGAGCAGATAACATTAGAAAGATTTTAGAGTCCCATGAAAATAAGTGGATACAACGTCTAAAAACAAAATATCCAGCCGGACTAAACCATAAATTTAACAATATAGATAGTACTAATATATAACTCAACAAATCAAAACCTACCCACATTTCTCACACACATAAATGCTTACGGAGGTGTGGAGGCCTCACACTTATACACACACCGACACGAATATACACACTTACACACATCATACTCACTCACTCCCTAATGAGCCAAATGATAACACACAGCCACAGCAATACTAGATATCATACTCACTCACTCCCTAAGAACCAAATAACACACACACAAACACTAAACAGAGACACATCCCCTCACCAGGTCCAATAAAACTGTCAAACTGACCAGAGAATTCAGAGCAGCAAGTATCTATCCAGCTCTTATCTCAAATAACAACTTAAAAGAGACTGTTTGACCAACACAAGGATTGTTAAAAGATTCATGTTAAAAAGATAAAAAAATAAAAAAACAAATGAAAACTACAGACAAACTTCATTTTCTTCAGCAAACCACTCATTTCTGTAGTTTACTGCTACCAGCAAGCAGAAATATTTCTTCTCCCGATTATGGCCATTTTGGTCGAAGTAGTCGAGGAATCTAAATGAAATAATAATAAAAAAACGAAAGAATATTAATCTACAACCTAGTGTGTCTAAAAGATTTTAATTTTTTTAATATTTTTATTGTTCAATATATATATATATATATATATATATATATATATATAGCTCTCTATATATATATATATATATATATATATATATATATATATATATATATATATATAGATAGATAGATAGATAGATAGATAGATAGATATTTAATTATATATTATAGTATTTAATTAAATAAGAATTAAAAAGTTTGAACTAAATAAAG